GGCTCATTCAGCACAGAACAGTGGTTTCTTGCTGCTAAAATGGGTTTCAGATTGGTCAAGCCTTAGTGGCTCAGAATTTTTAGGGGAGCTCGTGGTACCTCATTCACAGGGGAGTCGCTACCTAAGCTTAACAGGTCCTGGCAAGAAGCCTTGCTTTATGTACTTGTCTGTGTGTTAGTCTGTTGGGGAGCATGCAGAGCTCCCCCTCTTCAAATACAGAGCATACTTCTGTCCCCAAAACTGTTAGTCTTACAAACATCTGCACAAAGGGCTGAAGTTTGGGGTTAATGTGGAAGTCTTGATAATCAATGGGTTCCTGGAATCAAATACAGTTTTCTCCAGCTCTTCCTACCCATTAAGGGGATAAGAGAATATATATGAGAAAAATCCCTGGATAATCCACATTTCATTTCACTCTTTGGGTTTGAAGTAAAATTTACAGTTTTTCTTTGTATGTGTGCATTTTTTTTTTTTTTGAGACAGGGTCTTGCTCTGTTGCCCTGTCTAGAGCAGTGGCATCATCATAGCTCACTGCAACCTCAAACTCCTGGGCTCAAGCGATCCTTCTGCCTCAGGCTCCTGAGTAGCTGGGACTATAGATGTGCCAGCACGCCTGGCTAATTTTTCTATTTTTTGTAGAGACAGGGTCTCACTATGTTGCTCAGGCTGGTGTTGAACTCCTGGGCTCAAGCAATCCTCCTGCCTCAGCCTCCCAAAGTGCTAGGATGACAGGTGTGAGCCACCATGCCTGGTTTTGTATGTGCATAGTTTTTTATAGCCCAGGTAATTTATACTATCTTCCCAGCATATACACCACTGGGAAGAGACAAAGGTAACCTCCACTGATTGGGCAAGTTATTCCACATGTATCAGGCACTGCGCTGCAGGCTTTGAGGTCCCCTTAAGCTCGTTTAATCCTCCAGCGAGCCCATGGGTTGGTACTACTGGTATGCGTGTTTCCCAGGAGAAGAAATGGCAGCTCAGAAAGGCTAAGGGGACAGCCTGAGGTTGCCATTCCAGCAAAGCCCAAGTTGTCTGCCTCTCTGCCTTGGCTTTTAACCAGTGTTCTCAACCAGGGCTGATTTTGCTCCAAGAGACAATGTGAGGGGTGGTGGCTGCTACTGGCATCTAGTCGCAAGAGGCCAGGGATGCTGCTAAACATCCTACAATTCACAGGACAGCCCACAGCATAAAGAATTGTGCAAATTTTCAGTTGCGGGGACATTGAAAAACTTTGCTTTTGACCATTACCTAGAGTGGCGGCCCACCCCGCCCGTCTGCGCCAGGCCAGATTCCCCCTTGAGCTGAAGATGGAGAGAAGTGAGTCCTCTTCCAGCTTCCTTGTGACTCACCTGGTGGAATCATTCTCACTTAGGCTCTGAATTGAGGACCCAGTCCTGGAAGAAATAAAATGCGTTAAAGGAACACCTTGAGAACTAACGTTCAAAGAAAGGAAAGGAAACTGATTTTTATTGGGGCCATATGTGCCAGGTGCTGCACAAGACACCTTTAAACCCATCCTGTATCCTTCAAAACAGTCCTCAGGTTTAGAGGAAATCATTATTGCCCCCCACTTTCCATTTTTAAACCAGTGAAGAAATTGGGGCTCAGAAAGGTTATCCTGCTCAAGGTCACATGGGTGAAAGACGGGACCTGGATTGTAACCCAGCCTGTCAGATTCCAAAGTCTCTACTTCACATTTAATAGATTTTTAAAAGGAAATAATGAAGGCTATACTGAAGGTAAAGTAAGAGCGGAAAGAACATTCATTAAACACATTCATTACTGTTTAATTAAAAGAATCACTTTGTGTACCCTAGAATGTAATCACTATGAGCCACAGAAGGTCTATATTAGTATATGGGGCTGTGGGTGAGTTGAGGCTGTTGGGGACAAATGTCCTTATTTTACACGGAAAAACTGGGCCTCAGAGGGGTGTAGGACTTGGCCGAAGGCTTCCAGCCAAACTAGCCCAGGGCCTTGTGTGCCCACTCTGGGAGCCGCTCCCTGCTGGGTTGGAGACGCTCGCCATCTTTGCTCACCAGCCCAGGTGAGCTCCAGTGAACTCTGACTCACTAAGGGTTAAGCCACACAAGCTCTTTTATGAGTGATAACCATTTAATGTGCCCTGTAAAACAGGGCACCTCAGCGTGCTGGCTGCTTTCCCTCGGAAAGGGGGTGCCAGCAGGGAGCAGTGCTGTGTGCCCAGGCCGGCTCTTGGGAAGGGGTGGCGGTGTTGGAGCAATGAGACCCTGTAGTCCTAAAGGTCTGTGGGGGTTGGGAGTAGTTCTGGATGCCTCCAGAAAGAAGGTCATGGCGAGAAGTGACATCTCCCCCGAGAAAAGGGACTTGTGGGCATTCGGCCACACGCGGGGGGACCGGCCCACTGTGGTTCTGCGACATTTATTGAATTCTTTTTTCAGTACCTGCGAAGTTCTCTATGTATACGACCTCATTTGATTCTTACAGCCCTTTGAGTTTGAGGTGGTTCCCATTTGGCAGGTGCAGAGAGCGAGGATCAGAAAGTTTTTGGCTAGACAGACTTGGAACTTGCTGAAGGTTTTCCGCAGGAAGGCAGGGGAACTGGAATCTGAGCCCGTACCTCCTCAACTCTGAAGCCTGGGTGCTCAGCCCCCACACTACCCTACTTTCTGTGTTTGCTGGGAAGCTGTGAACAAAAACCCACAGTGGCTGAGGAAGTCGCTCATAGTTGGCCCAGGCAGGACGCTCCTCCTGAAATGATCACTTTGAAACGGCCCTGCAGGCGAGTCCTTGGGAAAGAATTTTAGGGACACTTTTTCTTGTCTGTCCTCCCCTGGCCTGGAGGGCCAATCCGTCCATGCAAATCCTGGGCTCTGAGCTTCAGCCATCTCAGGGTTAAACAGTAACCTTTCCATGCTTGTGGTTGAGCAAACGCTGGCAAGGAACAAGCCCAGCCTTGAGCAAACAAGAGACTGGGCCCTGTCCCCCTCCCTCCCCCAGCCACCCCCTCTGGGCACTTGGAGGTTTTCCTCTGCCTTGAAGTCCCCAAGCCGATTTCTTAGCTTGAGGGCAATTGCTCTGCAAAGCTGGATGGGAAAATGCCCAGTTATTGTGAAAAAGAAAGAAAAGGTTTGACTTGAGTTAGTTTTCCTTCTCTGAGGGTGAGAATCCAAGAGCTTTCCGGAAGGGAATTTAGGAATCAGTATAATCACCTTGTTTAAATTTTCAGATGGGGAAACTGAGGTCCTGAATCCTAATCTGGTTCAGGTTTACCCAGGGAGGTAGTGACGCTCCTCATCATAACACCTGCCATGCAATTGTGCCCTACTTCGGGCCAAGCGCTCCGGGTACAGAAACTCACTTAATCACCAACCAAGGTACAGGGCTGGGTAGGATTAGCTGCATTTTGCGTGTGAGCAAATTGGGGTTGTGAGGTTAAGTCACTTGTCTGAGTTAGTCCTAACCTTAGTTAGCTCTTCTGGCTTCAGAGCTCTTCTGGACACGGACTCCAGCTCTGCTCTCTTCCCACCCGCCCCACGATCCCTTCTCTGTTGCGACGGCCGTCATTCCTAAACTGTCGTTTCTTCCCCACCTCTGCTCGGGCTAGATCCAGACCTAGTCATTTACCAGCAACAGTGATGCGGATGATGACAATCGCCACAGTGGCTCTTGTCTAGCCTCATTCAGCCTTAATCACTGCTCTATCCCCGCACCTAGGACAGTGCCCAGCCCGTTATTGGGCTGATAAGTATTTGTTGAATAAATAAATACATGAACACATTTTTATGCCTCTCCCAGGCCCCTCTTCTCCCCTCTCAGGCTGTCCACAGAAGCAGAAGAGCGGCACCTAAATTAGAAGAAGGAGTGTCAAGGACTAGAAAACAACGCTGGGTGGCCAATTTCAGTCCTGGGAATATTGGTGACACCTGAGGATGCAAGATTTTCCCACAGCAGGCAGAAAATTTTCCACAGCTTTCTGCCATAAAGCTAAATTCCTTTCCCCACCCCAGCATTTTATAAAGAGCAAGTTACTTTTACAGCCCCTGGGCAATGCCCAATGGCCTTCTGGAAACAGACTGTTCTTCCTTTGAATGGTTGAACACGCCACTGGGGCTCTGGTCTGACATGTGGAGGGTGCCCAGCGGGGGGGCAGGGCATGGCAAATGCTGAACGGTTGAAGGGAATATTTCTGAAGGTAAAATGTCTACATTGTTTTAAAAAAAAAATCCGAATAGGCCCATTCTCCTGGGTCCTTTACTGGGAAAATGACCCTGCAGACTGAGGAAGCCACCTTTTGGACAGCTTCAAAGCCTGTGGAATTCTCCAGGTCTCCAATAGGAGAAGAAAAGCTGATCACAATTTTTATCGGAATGGGAGAATTTAATTTTCTTTACCAGAAAGGGGCAGTGTCTGTCAAAGAAACCAATTGATTCCTGATGTTATCACAAAGCCAAATACCTGGGGAGTTCTGCTAAAGTGTGATTGAGGCCCTCTGCCCATCAGCCGTCCCAGGGCAGACATGCAAACCGAAGGAACTTGTTACTGGGTGCCCAGGTGCGATTTCGATCGGAGTTCCTGCATAGGTGCTGGGTCCGTGCCGATACCAGCTTGGAGTTTCATTGATTGAAATTGCACTTTAAACAAAATCTCTTTGGCATTTTCACTTTTGTGAAGGAAAAAAAAAAAAGAAAGAAAAGAACCTTGGATGCTGGCCAGACTCGCCCTGGGAGCAGGTATTGCATTTTCTTCCTGCTTCATTCCTGATCAGAGATTATTCATTTATGAATGGGTGGCTGTAAAAACTTGCCTCATGCATATGAAAATTGAACCTGGAAATTTTTAATTGCTGTGAGTTTTGCTTTTACTGAAAAGGCCGTGGCAATGGGTGGCAGGCCATGGGTAGGACACATTCTTTTTTTTTTTTTCTTCTTCTTCTTAAATTAACTCTACAATCTGTACTCTCAGATGATATTTGTCCAAGAGGCACTGGCTGAACAGGCTGTGTATTCTCCTTGCAGATCATGATTCTGGAAGGAAGTGGTGTAATGAATATCAACCCCAGCAACAACCTCCTTCACCAGCAGCCGGCCTGGACCGACAGCTACTCCACGTGCAATGGTAAGGGGCCGAGTGGCTGCGGGGGCCACTGCCCTGCCTCGGGGATTCTTCCTTTGCTTTAATCCCTCTCCTGACCTAACGTTGGAAAAATACAGGCTTTATTCAGCAGAGGACGTGGGACCAGGGGGAATGGAGGAAAGTCCTAATACTGGAGTTCCCTACAGGTCCCCAGGACTCCAGACAAAAACCCATTTGAGATACTTTATCATCTCCTCCCCAAATTCAAGGTTCCAGGTTGGCAGCCTGGCAGTGAGGGGGGGTAGAAGAGATGCCCAAAGAGAAGACCACCTGTTGAAGCTTTTAACAGTGTTTTTCTGGGATAGCAAGATGGGATAGGAGAGAGAGGAGTGTGTGTGTGTGTGTGTGTGTGTGTGTGTAGGCTAAGGAGAGGGATATAGCAGCTTAACCTTTTTGTTTCATCTTCCAGTGACCTCCCTTTGCAAGAGAGAGGATATTTGTTGGGAGACCAGGTGTTCTCCGGTAGTGGTAGTGTTTTAATCTCCAATATGTTGATTAGAAGAGGAGGGGCCTGATGGTGGGGCTTATGGAGGGTTTGATGATCAAGCCTGTGGCTTACTGTAAAGCTGAAATGAACAAAGTGGTTGCCGAATCGGGAGCCTCACACCCCCTCGCAAAGGCGTCGAGTTTAGGCAGACGGCCATACATCCAACAGCAGTGAGTTTAAGGAGCTCTGGGCCTTATTCCCTTCCACACTTGCTGCTAATCTCCCTGCCAGAGACACTGCTGCTCTTGCTGGCCTTGAAACATGGACATGGCCTGTGGGTGATCAGTCTGAGAAGCAGGAGTGGGAGGATAATGGGAGGTTATATTCTCCAACAAAACGCTGATCCATGCGGAGCTCCACCTGTTTCATTTTAGAATCCCAGTCCAATGTGGTTGAAAGGGTGAACGGGTGACCTTCCCTTATTCGATCACTTGTCCCACCACACTGCTCCATTTTGGGGGCAGTTACATTTCCTGTTGTGGGTCTCAGATTCCCTGTGGGGACCCAGAAGAGGATTCCAAATAGAACAGGACGTCTTTGGCATCTGGGACCTGGGACCCTTGATTAAGGCAGTGTTTCTCCTGTTTGCTTTGGGAAAACTGGGGGAATGTGTTTAGCAGGGAGTAGAATTTAGGTGCCACTTTTATTTCTTAAGTTCCAGAGGCCCTAAAGAAGGCCCAGCTCTGCATCAAGATTGCAGGGGGGAAGGAGGTCAGTTGAATGACAGAGAAAATGTAAACTCAGGATTTTCAGTGTCTCTCCTAGAACTTGAACAGGATGCAATGTCAGGAACCATCCTTAGATCATATTAAATTTGCAGAAGAGATTATTCTAGACCTGTTGTTGGGTTATTAAAAGTTGTTGCTGCTTGTTGACAAACCCAGAACTATACTGTCATGGTAACACAGTTATTTTAGGAAGAAAAGATCAAACATTTGAAGAGCCACAAAAAATATAGCCCATCCTTAAACAGCTGTATTTGCGAGACACCAAAAAAATCGGGAGAAATGGAAACATCCAGTCCAAGCTGTGTGTTTGTGTATTCGGGAATGTTTCTATGTAATTAAACTTTTGCACTAGATTTTTCCAGTCCTTGCCCTCCAACCCCCAACTACTGGCTTCCTCTTTAGGGCCCAAGCAAGGATCTAGGGCTGCTTTTGTTTGGCCATGAGGTATGAGGAGTGAGGCGCACACTGAGATTGGCAGGTATTACCAATGGTGGTCACCTTTGCGCCTTATGTGAACTTGACCTCCTGCTCTTAGCACTTCTGAGGTCTGGAGGCAGTGGGTGGATTCCAAAAGGGTGAGCAAATGTGGGATTGGGTTGGAAACCCTCCCCCTTCGGCTTCTCCTCTTGGGGTGCTGAGGGCTAGCCATGGGCGTTGCAGGAATCAAATCTTTCTGAGCCCTTTAGCACCTTGTCACTCAACAGACCAGCAGCAGCAGCATGGGGATGGGTGCTAGGAATGCAGAAACTCAGGCCTCTCCCCAGACCTATTGAGTCAGAATAGGCATTTGGACAGTATTCCCTGGTGGCTCACAATCACATTAAAGTTTGAGAAGTACTGATCTAGGATGACCCAGAAGAAAAGGTTAGGGACAGTTTCCTTGTACTACGTTTTCCTCTACTGGCCCACCCTTGAGTGTGCGGGAACATCTGCGTGCCACGTGCAGTTGGATTTCCCCGCTCCAGCTTGCTGGGATGCAGTAGCATCTGCCCCTCACCCCCACCCCTCACCTTTCGTGGAAGAGAGTCCTACTCTCGATCTCTGTTTTCAAGGGAACTGTAAGATCTCTGAGCACTGTCACATGCTCCTGGAGGCTGGTTCTCTCTTCTCCATCCCCCTAGTACTATGGAATATTGTTTTAAATGAGCACAAGTCACTTACATAGATGCTTAGCACATAGTAGACTCAGCGATATTTATTAACTTGAATGAACGTCACTTCTTCACCGGTAACTGAATTAAGCACCTTGTGAATGCACCTTACACATCCTCCAGATTCCTCCATCATTTCCTCTTCAGCAACAAATTCCAATACATAAATGTACAGTGAGCATCCATTGTGGCAAGGTCTCTAGGTAGTTTTTATAGGTGATACAAAGATGAGTAAGACAGAGATGGTGGCTTCAAGCATACAATAAACAAGGAGAGTAAGGCAGGACTTAGAGACCTGTAAAGAAAAGCAGCACATGACAAAAGCCATTAGAAATACCAAGCATGTCTCCAGTGAGCCAGAGGACAGTGAGCCCTGCAGTCAGTTGGGGACATTGATGGCTTTATGGGGTGGTCAGAGTTTGGAAGATGGGTAGGAATTCAATAGGAGTGAAAGGTAGAACACAAGCGAAGGTAAAAAAAACAGCATAGAAAAAAGACAACAGTCATAGGTCACTTGAAGAATAGTTAGTGAAGAGCCTCAAGGCCTGGCTTGGCAGTTTTATACCTAATTTTGGTGGAAAATGGGGAGCTACTGAAGGTCACTGAGTAGGGAGGTGCATCACAGTAGCTAAATAACCAGGCTGGGGTGGGGGGATATCTGGTTAGCAGATGAATACTCTGGACCCCTTTGGGGATAAGCAAAGGCATCATAGAGGAAAGAACCTTAATTTCAGGCCTTACTTTTGGTTGAAAATGATCTGAAGTTGGGGTGTGTATGTGTGTGTGTATAAGAGAGAAAAAATGGGGGAGGGGAGAGAGAGGACGAGAACTGCTGCATCTTGGTGGGGACCTAAGTTAGTAAGTTGCTGACACTGTGGCAATGCTTTAGCTTTCACGGTACTTTCCTTAGGGGGAGGGGGAGGCAGGGAATGAGCTCGGAACAGTTCAGGTCTCTTGTCCTCCTCCAGTGTCCAGGGGTAAGTCTCATGCTGTGAAGAACACGAAGATGCTCAGAGGCTAAATTACTGGCTCCTGCCACAATTGGGAAAAGAACCACATTTCCGCTCCAGCCCCCATGCTGATTGTGCCCCCATGACATCTGGCAGCCAGCAGTGTGCCCCCATGTCTGTCATGATACCCAGGAACAACCAGGGGTCACTCATGGGGCCACCTCCTGTTTTGCAGTTTCCAGCGGGTTTTTTGGAGGCCAGTGGCATGAAATCCATCCTCAGTACTGGACCAAATACCAGGTGTGGGAGTGGCTCCAGCACCTCCTGGACACCAACCAGCTGGATGCCAGCTGCATCCCTTTCCAGGAGTTCGACATCAACGGCGAGCACCTCTGCAGCATGAGTTTGCAGGAGTTCACCCGGGCGGCGGGGACAGCAGGGCAGCTCCTCTATAGCAACCTGCAGCATCTCAAGTGGAACGGTGACTATCTCTCTCCCTACCCTGCTAGGAGCCAGCCGGAAGAGGGGAGACCCCACAGCCGGCAGTATTCCTTGTCAGAGATGACAAGGGGTGGTCTCACCTCTGAATTACCGTGTCCCAAGACAGGGAAGTAGGAAGGAGATGAGAGGACAGGATTGAAGCCTAGGGTACAAGGTGTGTCTAATCCCTTATGAACGCTGCTGTAATTTAATTCTCGCCTTATGGCGATATTAATTTTCAAGAAGACAAGAGCTGGCTGGGTATTCACAGAATACTTGCTACTCTTAGAAAACCTTCTCTTCTTTCCTTTGCAAATAGGGTTCAGTAGTTTAATTCCCAATCACTTGCTTATTAAAGATCATCATGGCTACTTAAAAAAACAAAACAAAACCAAACAAAAAACACTTGTAGACCTAAGTTCTTAAGTGGGGGCCCAAAAGTGGTGAGAAGATATATGAAATTAGTTCTATGTTTGTGTTTTAGGAGAGGAGAAGGCTCACAATATTTCTGCAGATTCTTAAAAGATCTGTAACTCAAAAAAAAGGGTTAGAACAAACGGTCTGGACACGTGTGCTGTGGGATGTTTCCGAGGCGATTTCTGGAATTGCCGCTGCCCAAACACCCCAGATATCTCTCCCAGGCCCCCCCTTAGCACAGGGAAAGGCCGCCATTCCAGATGCTGTCCATGGGTGACAGGTTATTCACGCACACACATGCACACATTTCATACTGACTTGTAAGGCCCTGTAGGGCAGACAGCTCATCTTACAGAATGTCTTTGACACTGGCGTAAGGTTTCCCTGAAAGTGGCTGCAAAAAACTTACTTCTCTGAGAGCTGTGGGCATTTTGGAAAGTAGTGATATATAAGAACAGTGAGCTGGCCTGTCCATATTGGGAAGGGCAAATATATCTTAGAGCCTGTGTTTGGGCAATTAACTGGGGCTCAAAAACCATGAGTTCCAGAGCAACAAAGTACAGTCAGACCCTGGCAGCTGCCATCAACACTGAAGAGGACCCGGAGCCTGGCTGCTGAGCCGGCTGCGGCGGCCATGTTGGATGACCTCATTCAGGTCCCTGGCGCACCCTTCTTCCCACCCACCTCGAGGCATCGTTGCTCATTTTTTCTTTTACTAGAATCAAACCAAACAGGGCTCTATAAATAACCCTCAGGAATCTTCAGAAAGAGCAGACTTACACTTGAAGAATTAAAAATATTCACCTCCCTACCTCTAATTAAATCCACTCCTTTAAAGCTTTGCCCTGATTGAAGCCTGAGGCGGGGAGGCCTGGGAGGTGCTGTGGCCCTTTTTGTCCGTCTGTCTTTGACCTTCCATGACTTGTTTGATCTCACTGCATGCTGCTGTTGCCTCTGAGTGCTCAGCGGCCAGCCAGTTTTCTCACCCTTGTTTGGTTGTTTGCCTTTTTGGAGATATTTTATCAATTTACACTTATTGAATGTTTACTTATACTAGGCACTGTAAGTGATTTGATTCATTTAATGACGTTGTGGAAAAATAAATTCATGCTCATTTTACAGATGGGAAGACCAAAAGTCAGAGAGGTTGGAGACGTGATCTCTGTTCCTGAGATATTTGCAATCTGCCTGGGGAGGAAAAACATACTAGATTCATTCACATGTACACATGTACTTTAATATGTGCTACAACTCAAGAGGAGTTGCAAGCAAACACAAGGATACGTGGCATGCACTGCTTGTATGTGTGCTAAGTCATAATTAAGGAAAGAATCACTGCCTTTTATCTAGATATATCTCATAGATCAGATCTAATCAAGATAGGTGTGATAAAATTTAAGATCAAATAAAAATTCAGCTAGTTAAAATGGTTTTCCCTATATTTTCATTTTCATTTTGGATCCTGTCTCAGTATGGGAAAGCACCATAGAGGCCATCTAGTGACTTTATCTTGTTTAGTCCCTAAATTTACAGATGAGAAAACTGAGACCCAGAAAGGTGAAGTGCCTCACAGCTAGCAGTGCAAAAAATGGTCTTCCGAAGTTCTATTCCCACCATACTGGATGCCTTCCCTATACAATGCCAAACAATTGCATCTGAAGTTGGTGCCCTAGACAGTTGATTTTCTGGGGCCAGGGACTGCAGCCTTGAGTTTGTAGAGGCTGAGAGGGAAGCCCCCCTCCCATAAGCAAGCATAGGTGACCAGACAGCGGGATGGCAGAAGCTCTTCAAAGAAGCCAGCTCTGTCCTTATTTAAGCATCAAGTTCTGGCTCCATCTGGGCCCTCTCTGACCTTCACAATCTGTCCTTCACAGGCCAGTGCAGCAGTGACCTGTTCCAGTCCACACACAATGTCATTGTCAAGACTGAACAAACCGGTGAGCAGTAGTGGATGAAGGGAGCCAACTTGGCTAGCACAGCCCTGGGGAGAACAATTGGGAGAGAGAGAGAGGGAGAACGTGGGAGCGGGTTCTGGCAGGAAGCCCAAAGAAGCCTCTTCCCTGGCTGTCTCCAATGGGCCACCTACCATGAGCCTCATTCCTTGCCCTTGGGACCAGTGACCACCAACTCTTTCTGATTTTTAGACTGATGATGAGCCTCCCTTGTACCCACACTCCTCTTCTTCCTACTACTGGTCAGGGCACCCTCCAGACTGCAGGCCAGTAGCTAGGAGAAGGCAGAACCTAAGGGGCACCTCCTTGCCACAGAAAGAGTCAGGAGATTGGAGTCGGGCACGTTTGGAAACGCAAGAGAGGAGGAAGAGTAAATGTTCTTCTTCGCTTCTCCCCTGATGGGGGTGTGTTTCGCAGGAAGGAGGAGGATGGTGACTTGATGTTGTAGTTAATGTAGTTTTGGGGGCTCGTGGGAGCTTCTGTAGAGATGTTCAAAGGCAGCTGTAGAACCCAACTCCTGCCTTAAGTGTGTTTTTATATGAAAAATACTATTCTGGGCTCTCAACAGAGTCTACAGTCCTGGGATCTATGTTCGTTTTTGCTCCCCTTCCTCTGTCCCAAATCCCTCTCCTGAATACTGTCCCCCAAAGTCCACAGGCTGTGATAAAACCATGCAGCAGCCACTGCTCCTGGGTCACTCCCCAAGTCCACACCAGGGAGACTGCGTCCCACAGGCCTCCCTGAGGATGTGTGCCAGTCACCAAGGACAGAACTTGACCTGGGGGTGATTTGTGATTGGCCCATGCAGTTATTTGCTCTTTTATAGGGGGGCTGGTCTACCATTATTAAAGAAAAAAGCAATAGCTGCTAAGCATGTTAATTAGGCTGTCCTAGCCCTGCCCTTCTCTTCAGAGACCAGGGGATGGGCCACCTGGGTGCTCTGTGCTTTACGAGCCTGCCCTTGCCCTGCAGACAGATGCAGGACTTGGCCAAAAGGATGGGGCACCTCCCTCGCTTGACCTGACAGATAGCCCCACCGGAGAAGCCAGGGTGATATTGGAGAGCCCAAAAGACTTGATAATTCCTCCTTGACCATCCAGACATTCTTGTGTTGCCAGTTCAGAAAAGCTGAGCTGAAGGGTGGAGAAGAAGGTCCACCCTGGGAGGAGGGGAGAAGAGGCTCCTAGAGGGGCCAACACCCCCAAACCTCTTTGGTTCGGTTTGTTTTCAGAGACAACAACAGGTGTACAAGGTGACCCAACAAGAAGAGAGGGTGTAACCCCAAGAGATTGGGCTTAGGATGTCCAAACACGTAGCTATTAGTTAAAATACCAGCTAAATCCCTATGTCGTAAACAGGAGGACTTAGCCAGTGAGTCAGGTTTTATACCATTTATGCTATAAAAACAAAATGAAACCCAGGCAGTGGCTTACCACCCTGGTCCTAAAATTCATACTCCGGGCAGGAGGGGAGCTGAGGGCAGTCTGGGTCTGTGGCGAGGAGAAAGCAGGAAGTTTCTGGTGGGGACAAGGTGAGAGATCTTAGAGCTCTTGGCTAGCTAAGAAAGAAAATGCTTTTGTTGGAGACCAGCCCAGATCTGGGGGTTGTGTAGGAGTTGAGCTTCATTTGGAGACGTGGAGGGGAATTTCCTTTGAGTCTGAAATCTGAAGAGTCAATCGAAGTGAGATGTGCTTACCCACACCCTGGAGAAAGAGAGAGTGAGGGAGCGAGCACTTCTTTTCCGAGACGAAGCAATGGGGCTCTGCTCTTAAAAGTTGTTTGTTTGATTCGGTAACACTCTTCTCCCCTTCTCCTTGGTTTTGTATTGAGAATTTTGTGTCACCCCTCAAGCTAACTGGAGAAACCCTGGAGGGAGAGGGCTGCCACCCAACTTTAGGAGAGACCTAGGATTTCAGCAAGAAAGAAACTGTGATAAGACTGACTAGACCTTTTCTAAAAGAAACAGCTTTAATTCTCCCAGGAAGATATTAGTAGGAAAAGATGTGCATTAATTATTTATTATAAAATTAAATAAATTTATCCTTTACAAGATTTCCCCCCTCCACATACCCCAGGCTAAAAATACTCTGGTGATCATATAGTAGAATGTAAACAATGCCAAGCAAGGCTGGGAAAATTCCTGGAAACCAAATCATTGGTCTAGGACAGGATCCCACTGTTGCAACTCGTCTTGCTTCCCTGAAAATGCAACAGATGTGGAACACATGGATGGGGCCCTGACAAAGTCCATTTGCCCCAGGACACTGGAAGAAAAATGGGATAACATTATTACAAAGTAAGTGGCTAAAGCAGAATCTTTCCCCTTCCCTCTGAGGACCACCCCTTGCCCACCCATGCCTCTTTGATGAGCAATAAGTTAGACACGGCAGACTCTTCACCCTGGAGAAGATAATTGCTGACCCTTACCATTTTCTATTCTTCGTAGACCCTTCCATCATGAACACCTGGAAAGACGAGAACTATTTATATGACACCAGCTATGGTAGCACAGTAGGTAACTAACTCCCCACCACTTAAGGTCCTTTTACTTCTTATTCTGTTTGTCTAACAGCCACAGTGTTACATTGTAAGGAGGGGCCTCTAAATACCCTTTATCTTTTCATTGCCACAGATTTGTTGGATAGCAAAACTTTCTGCAGGGCTCAGATCTCCATGACAACCACCAATCACCTTCCTGTCGGTAAGTTGTCCTGACATCCGAGGCTGGGTGTGCCTAACACAGGTGCCTACAGAGAATTGATGAGAATTACCAACATCTCATGTTTCTGCATTATTGGGGTCTTTCTCATAAAAAGGCTGGGAAAGGAATGGAGTTACTATTATAAGAGGTCTGCTTTTGAGCCAATATTTGTACGTCAAGGATGACCGGTAAAGATTCCTCTGGGCAAAGGATTTGTCTCCTGTGAAAACAGTCACTCTCTTGTGACAACAAAGGTTGTTTAGGCTTTCTTCTCTTTTCAACACAAACTTGCTCTTGGGATATATCTAATAAAATTATTCATACTTTGGTGTACTCCTGAGGGAGAAGGCAGTATTCAGCAAACTACATTTGGCTTTAGAGAAAGATTGTCTAATGGAGAAATTCAGAGGTCCGTGAACCTGTGGTGATGGTTTCTGGGTTGGCGGGGTAGCCACTGGAACTACCACTACTACTTTCTGGAACCCTTGAAATCACACTGTTTTGTCCGGTTTTAGGTCTAACTCACATGGGTCTTCAGTACTCACTAATCAGTCAGAGTCCCTGTGCTTTATGAAATATGTTGCATCTGGTTAAGATTGGATGAAGCTGGGGGCTATTTGTGACTCTTAACCAAGGTTACACTGACTGAGAGGGTTGGTATGTTGGGAATCTGGGAGGGGGCTTGCAGATTGCCACTCCCCTCCCAAAGAGGTGCAGTGGGGGAATTAGCTGAAGAGAGGGCTTCCTGTTTTCTCTAGACTCAGGTGCAAACTTCTGCATCTCTTTGGGTCTATGAAATGGAGCTTAGACAGGAATTGAATTTGGGGCAACTTCAGAACCGGGATTTAATCAAGTTTTTGTGAAAGAAAGATCGCAATCCTTCCCTTTTTTTTTTTTTTTTTGCATCTGTTGAGTGTGTATTTTTGAGAACCTAAATAATGAAAGCTTTTGGTTTGAGGTTTTGTTTGGGTCAAGCCCCTTGAATGAGACAGGGCTGGGAGCCAGTGTAAATGCTTCTGAAATCGAGGTTAAGAACTGAGGCCAACTCAGCTCTCGGCGTCCCCCTCCCCCCACAGCCCTTAGCATTATGTGTCACTCGAAGTGTTTGTTGAAATTAGGCAATAGATCAAACACAGGAAAGGCTGCAGTGTATTTGTCATTCTGGGGGAACCGAGCCAATCGGGGTAAGATTTCTGTGGCAACCAGATTTCTTGTCACCCAGTCAAGACCTGGGGTTTCAGCGCTGAGGAAACCACCGGAGTACCCTCTGATTTCCTCTCAGACTTCCTAAGGTGGCCCCTCCCATGTCCTTCTGCTTGGGTCTTGGACTTATGGCACAAGATTCAACTAAGAATAAAGCTGCACCAACCACTTCCTGAGCCTCAGGGGTTGTTAGGTCCTCCCGACCCCTGGGAAATCTAAAAGCCATAGTCCCTGCTCTGCTGCCCTGACAGCCCAGCCATCCTTCTCTTTTCTGTGTCTGGCACCTTCTAGAATCTCAGAACCAACAGGGACCTCAGAGTCCAGTTTCTGCTTTCACATTTGCAGTAGCAGGAAACTCACTGTCTCCTGAGGCCACCTGCTGTGTTTTTGCCTAGTCCTTCTTAAGATGGGCTCATGATCTGCTCTCTGTCGCCCTCCGGGATCCCAGTTCCCTCCAGCCCCTCATTCCTGTTCTGCGGTGGTAACACAAGCTGGAAAATGAGTTAAACGACCCAGGCCCTCTGTCAGAATTATTACCTAAAAGAATCAATTCGGTGTCTGGGGTTGGTAAGTTCTTTGGGGTACAGCCCTCCAGGTTAGTTAATTACAGCCTTGTATGGGTCAATTCCTTTCAGAATAGTTTATAGTCTCTGCTGGATGGAAACAGAACCCCCCAGAAGACCCCTGTCATTTGCCCGAGTCTTTATATTTCAAGCTTCTGTAAAATTGAGGGCAGTGAAATGAAATATCTTTCTATGTTTCAATGCAAGTTAGAAGCTGAGCTAAGGCAAGGCTCAGCGTAAACTGATGCCCTCTGTGATAAACACAGGTGGGGAAGCAGGCTTTGTTTTGGTTTCTCTGTCATCTGCCCGTTTCATAAAATGGCCGCCGCCAGTGTCCTGTTTCGCCCGACAGTCCTCCGGCCTGGCGTGCCAGCTCGGGCTTGATGTGTTTATCCACTGACTTGTTGAGCCTAAAGCTAGGGTGGCACAGCCTATTAGAACGCTGAAATTTGTATATCCCGTAAAGAAATGGCTCACGGCTGAATCATATGCAAATGCTTCAAATCTTTGCTTCTTGCGAAGCAGCTTAGCTGAAGTCATGCTCCTGTACTTGCATCATAAACCCGTGGCTTGTTGCTGCCCCTGCCTGGACCGGACGGGCCTTGGCCCGGAGTGCCTGGGTGCAGAGCAAGGGAAAGCCAGGCTGGACGGCTTCCCCAGAGCAAGCCATTATTTTATGAGAATGAATCACTTAACCATATGGCTAACTTCAAAGGTCTTGACTTCTATTCTGGGGCAGGGGGAAGAAGGGGAGGGAAGGCCACCCTATTAAAGTGACATTGTAGATCAAAAGATTTTAGTGCTGAGGCAGGTCAGGGATTCCACAGTTCACCCCTGCACGTTGCAAAGGGCAGACGGGGCCAGAAAAAATTAGATTTTTCTTTTGGCTTTGGCTGCATATCCTTGCATAAGAATGATGAAAAGATTTTTATTTGGGGATTTTGTTTAAATCTTTCCTAAGCTGGCTGGAGGTCTAGCTTGGGTAAATGGCTGACATTTGGAAGAGTAAATGCCCTCATGGTTTATCTAGTCTAGGGGTTTTTAATTTAGAGTCCATGGACTCCCACGTGGGCCACGGACCCCTGAAATGGTTGACAAAATTTTATAAGCATACATATACGAGCATTTTTGTGGAGAGAGGGTCCAAGGTTTTCATCTTATTCACAAAGGTACCTTAACTCCAAATAAATTAATTCTAGATCAGCTTGGAACCCACAAACAATAATTGAGGCCAATACACTGAGAGGCACTTGGGTTTTTCTGAACTCAGACCTGGCTCTGAAATAATGGCCCTGCATCCCCTCTTGGATGCCATTTGAAAGCGAGCTTTGCTTGTGGCCTGCTGGGTAAATGCTACTCTTTGTCTGCAGAACAACGTGGCCCTGTCAGAGTGATGTATCACTTGGAAACCGGGGTGGGTGCCAGAGCTGTCGCAATATTGTCACATCCTGATGGGATGTTGCAACCTCACCCTGTAACCTACAGGGAGGGAGAGTGAAGTCTCCTTGCCTTTTCTGTGTATTTGTCCTTCCTGATTTCAGAGAAACCCAAGTCAGGTGCAGGCCCTCCTGGTGACAATGCCAGGAGAGAAATTCTTAACCAGAATGAGAGATTTCTCTTCTATTCAGAACCTACTAAACCCCTCTTCTCCAGCCTGCCTTGGCTTTTGGAGAAACCACTGTGCGCACTGAGTCCTGATTAGCTGGGTGATCAGATAGGTCAATGGGAAATACAGAATCATCGGATTGGAACTATTTTTTTCCACTAATGAAAGCATTATAGGAGTGAACCTGACTCTTGCAGGATAGACATGTGTGAAATCTGTTATGTGCCAAAGGAGACTGAGCGCAGACCACCATCTTTGGAAATGGCATAGAATTGTGGTTACAGGTAAAGCTTCTGGATTCAGACTGTGTTCACATCCCGGCTCTGCTTTCAGTCTGTGTGTGTGACTGTAGACAAGTCATTTGACCTCTCTGTCTCTCAGATCCTCCACAGCTGTAAACTATGGATCACGAGAGTACCTACCTCACAGGGTTATTGTGTGAATTAAATAAGGTGTTTCATGTAAAGTGTTTAGTACAGTGCCTGGTACATAGTAAGCACTCAGTAAAGAGTAGCTATTCTTCTTAACCAGTTTAATTAGGAGCTAATGGTCAGTGGGTCATAAACTTTTTTGAATAATGGACCACTCCTGACAATCAAATGAATACTAGGGACCTTCTTCCTTTGCATGCAGTGTCAGTCAGTTCAGAATGCCCTTGAAGGCCACACACGGGTCAGCAAACCCTAAGTTAGGAAGCCCTGATGCAATGCGCATGGAAGAGACCAGTTTTACTGGCCCAGTTTCTTTAAAGGACTGGCTTGTGTTTAGGGACTACTTTGTATTAAAGTTGGTTGGTTTTTGATTGTGAGATTTTTTTTTTTTTTATAAGATCTGCCTTGTCCTCCCAACACCTGAAGTGCCCTCTGAGAAACACACACCACACACACACACACATATGCACACTGCTGTCATTTAGTTTTCTTTTTTTGAACAATTTTTGTTTCACTGATTTGCCTCTGTCATCTCCTCTTTGGTGTTGTTGCAAGAGTTACCATAATGAGTCATTTGTTAAACTAATCTGTGTTTCCATAGTCCACTGTGGCCCTCTGTACTAAGTTCAGGCCACTCAATGGCCTCTTTGTGAGGCTAATTAAAATGTAACTTTGCATGCCAAAAAAGGCAGTCCTCTGGCTTAAAAGCCATCTTTCATTGTTATAAATGTTTACATTTTTGTGTTATGGAAGAAGAAAAAAAAAGCACCTTTCAATGACCTAAATCTTTCAGTGGCTTCCCATCTCTCTTGGAGTAAAGTCCTTAAAATGTCCCCTAAGGTATTAATGATCAGAACCTCAGCCCTCTTCCTCTGCTCTTGCTCACAGCCACACACATGCCAAACACACATCGACCTCAGGGCCTTTGCACTTACTATCCTCAAGCATGGAAGGCTGTCCCACAAGCTGTCTGCATGCTGTCTCCTTCACATATTTCAGGTCGCTTTATCAGAGACATCTTCTGTGACCACCTTGTGTTAAATTGCAAATTATTTCCACCTCCATATTTCTGTCCCCAGTTCTTTCCTTGAATTATTTTTCTCCATGGCACTTATCATCTCTGTTTTGCTTGGTTCACTACCACATACTCAAACAGTGCCAGGCACACAGTAGGTGCTCATATTGGTTAAATGAGTGGACACATGAATGCAAACGATAATTGTAGGAAATAGGAAAATTGAATTGCTCTCATTTTTCTCCTTAGCAGAGTCACCTGATATGAAAAAGGAGCAAGACCACCCTGCAAAGTGCCACACCAAAAAGCACAGTAAGTTGGCGCTTGTGTCTTTCCATGATGTTGGGCAAAACTGGAGGCCACTGGTTTTTAGACAAATAATTGCGTCTGCCTGCTGCCTCTATTTGTTCACCATGGACTGGGTAGAGTGAGAAACAGAGGCATCAGTTGCCAGCGAAGTAACCCCTCTGCAGCTCTGTCTCAAGGTGTGGCCCCACTGTGTATTTCCTCCTCATTCTGTCATCTTTATTCTAAAATGGAGACACTCAGTGAATAAGAACTTCTCGAAGACATAGGGTTAGCAATTTCCCTCTGTCCCAGCAAAAAAAAGGTGGGCAGGGAGTGCAGTGGGAAGACACAGCTGAGATGTATCATTCTACCTACCTTTGTGGGTTATTAAAGGAATAACTGTTGAGTCTTAAGATCCCTTAAGATTCCACACTGCTCTTCGGGAGTTGGATTTCCCCCAGTAATAAATTCTTATGAACCCATATGAAATATCAGAGATGGAATTGGGGAGGAGCACAGAAAGAAATCAAGATGGTATCAATCTAGAAATTTTAGGGAATCAGAATGTCATCCCACAAAACTGAATTAATGCAGCCCCTGAAGTGGTTGTGGGGGGGGGTGGTCAAAAATCCAGTGGGAGTAAAATTGATTTTGGGTACGAACATGATTACAGTAGCTGCTTCATTTTCAAATAGGGGCACCAATGCCTGTGTGACCACCCCCCCAAGACCCATATATTCTAGAAGTTAAAATTCTAGAGCCTTATTGATTTGCATTTGGCTAAAACACAGCTGCTGGGTTGGAGCAATTTAATTGGTTCAGCTACTAGATAAAAGTGGTTGAAAGTTGCTCTCTGGGAAAGTAACACGATGAAATGAATCCCAAACCATTTGTGAATAATAATTAGAAGAAATTCCACCTGGCTTAGGAGACCTAAGAGCTATTCCTTAGTTTTGGCTTCGCCGCTAATTGGCTGGGGGACCCTGGTCAAGTCAGTCAAATTTTCTGCTCCTTGGTTTCCTGATTTGTAAAATTAAAAAATGGTGCTAGTTCGTTCTCAAATGCTTTTTTTGTGTCCAACATTTGGTGATCCTGTGATCCATCTTCCCTGGTGAGTAGCAGAGAATTGAGTAGCTCCTACTTGAAGGAAGATGATGCAATTCAACACTCCCTCTGCCTTTTCTTTGCTGTGACTTAGGCACTTCATAAGCTCCCTTTTCTGCTTTTCATCAGATCCGAGAGGAACTCACTTATGGGAATTCATCCGCGACATTCTCTTGAACCCAGACAAGAACCCGGGGTTAATAAAGTGGGAAGACCGATCTGAGGGCATCTTCAGGTTCTTGAAGTCAGAGGCTGTGGCTCAGTTATGGGGAAAAAAGAAAAACAACAGCAGCATGACCTACGAAAAACTCAGCCGAGCTATGAGGTGAGGAGTTTCTTGTCTCTGAAAACTATAAGGCCGCACAACCAGCTATGTACCCAAAAGTCTGAATCTGACCGGCCACCTTACGTAATTTCCTCTGTTACAGATATTACTACAAAAGAGAAATTCTGGAACGTGTGGATGGAAGAAGACTGGTATATAAATTTGGGAAGAATGCTCGAGGGTGGAGAGAAAATGAAAACTGAAGCTTCCAACACTTTGAACACAAACCAAAACACACACCAGATAACAAACAGAGAACTCCTGGACGTAAATATTTCGAAGACTACTTTTCTCTGATATTTATGTACCATGAGGGGGAAGAAAAACTACTTCTAATGGGAAGAAGGAACACTACCGTTGATAAAAAATTATTTTGTTACTTTGAAGTATGTCCTATATGGAGGACAAACGTACACAGTTTTCTGTGAAATACGATGCTGTCTGTGGTTGTGATTTGTTTTCACCTCTATTGTGAAGTTCTTTTCCACTGCAAGAATAGCAGGGTTTGTGGCCTTGTACTTCTTGCTAAGAGAAAGGGAAAAAAAAAAAAAATCAGAGGGCATTAAATGTTTTTGTATGCAAAATGATTTAGAAAAAGGTGATGTGTCCTCCACACATAAGCATCCACGTGGCCTTGTTAAGAAAAGTGGACACGGTCGCCAGGCTGAACTCCAGGATTTCAGATTGATGGAGTAAACTGGAAGGTTGCTGGGAAGTTTAACCTGACCTTTAGGATCCAGTGAGTGGAGGATGGGGGCTTCCAAAATCCAGGGTGGGCTGTAATCACTGCATAATCGCATGACTTGAAATGTTTAAATCAGCAAGCAGAATAATGGTGGGGTCTTCATACTCATCCAGAGATGATTTACCTGATGCCAGGGGGATCCCCCTCACTTTGCCTTGGACGGTCGGTGGAAAAGCTTCAGTTGCCATGTCTGCTCACTTCTATTTATCCAAAAGAGGGCTCAGCCTTGGTTATTTTTATTCCAACTGCTTAATAAATGAGTGGGAAAAAGAGGTGGTGGTGTGAACACGAATGATGAGTTTGCTCTTGTATCTCTACAGTCCACGGTTTCTCAGCACAGGTGACATTTTGGGTAGGATCATTCTTTGTGGTGAGCGCTATCCTGTGCATTGCGGGATGTTTAGCGGTGTCCGCGACCTCTACCCACTAGATACCGGAAGCACTCCTCAGCTGTGACAACCAAAACTGTCCCCAGACATCATCAGATGTTTGTCCCCTGGGGGGCAAAATTGCCCTTGATTGAGAACCACCAATTTAACCAGTCAAGATGAAGATGGTGATTTATTCTTAGAAAAAAAAAATATGTAAGGTCTTTTAGTCCCTAGAGCGAAGCAAAAGCAAGACTTCAAAGTCAACCTATTTTTATTTTTTGAAGAGTTAGGGACAGTGAGTTGAAATCTGTAGAGGAGCTTCTTTGGAGAACCCTAGATGAGAGCCAAAGACAGATGAATTAAACATAGTAGTGTGGCAAGAGCTACAATAGGAGACATTTTCACTGGAATTACAAGGCAGAGTTAAAACTATATTGCACTCTGGGAGGCCGAGGTGGGTGGATTGTTTGAGCTCAGGAGTTCGAAACCAGCCTGAGTAAGAGCGAGACCCCATCTCTACTAAAAAATAGAAAGAAATTAATCGGACAACTAAAAATATATAGAAAAAATTAGCCAGGCATGGTGGCACATGCCTGTAGTCCCAGCTACTCGGGAGGCTGAGGCAGAAGGATCGCTTGAGCCCAGGAATTTGAGGTTGCTGTGAGCTAAGATGACGCCACGGCACTCTAGTCTGGGCAACACAGTGAGACTCTGTCTCAAGAACAAAACAAAACAAAACAAAACAAAAAAAACTATATTGCAGGAGGAAACACTGAGAGAAGAATCTGTGTATGTGTGAGAGGGAAAAAGAGTTCCAGGAGGAATCCTCTTTGCAGGTGTTAATTCTTATAATCTTTTTTCTGTTGGATCATTTCTTATCTGTCTCGTGAGAACTCGTCTCAAGTGAATGGTTTATTGCCTAGCTTTGCATTCAGAGGAATGTTTAAAAAAGAAGGAAAGAAAAAGTGGAAAAGACAAATAGAAAACTCAGCTGAGGAGCTATTGTCACCAAGGAGTTGGAAGCTTGTTCTTCGATAATGGGATTGTTCTCGGGTACCCGGAAGCTTCTCAGTGGGCCCTGCAATCTGGGAGGAACGTGAGTCTGCAGACACCTTGAAAACGGGTTTGGATATACGGATCCCTGTTGCAGCTTTTCTTTTTGGCTTCCTCGTGTCCTTGACTTTCTCCTCCAGCCTGCCTCCCTTTCTCACACAGTAATATGTGGATAAAGATGCGTAGCAATAGGAGGGAGTTCTCTTCATCAACTAATAGAGCGCCTACCCTAGTGTCTTGCCCAGTGGAGGTGAGCGACTCATATTTAAAGGTTGCAAAGTGTTTGTAATGTATTTGGAAGGCTAGAAGTAAGAAGTAGTTAAGAATTTGTGCTAATTATACGGAGATCCATTCTGTGTGGTGACCTTGGAGCACCCACGAATGACCTTCAGAAGGTACAACCAGGTCCATTTTTATTTCCACTTGGCTTGTTCGCCTCTGCGAAGATTTTACTTGGTGTTGTCAAGTTACCGAGGGAGCTGGTAACAATGAACAGCAAAGATCCTGACTGTGCAACTCAGACATTCCTGCAGAAAAGACACACCTTGCTTTCCAAGCAAGGCTGAAGAACTATGGGGCCTTCCCAGCACATGACTGCTCAACACACAGAATGAATTGAACACCCAGATATCTGAATTGGTGTAACATGTGACTATTTGTGTGTCTGTGTGTGTGTGAGTTGTGTGACGTTATTTGGGGTATCTGCCAATTCTCCCTCTGCTGTTCCTTCCCTGGCTTTGCTTGTGGATCACCTAAGGTGCCTAGATCCTTCTCTGAGTTCATCCCTTTTCAAATCTGTACGTTTCTCACATTCCTCCAACTTGGCTTTGACTCTTTCTGCAACCTTTCCATTGAAGAGCAATCCTTGCTAGGGATAAATGAATCTGGGGAGTACCAACTAGAGCAGTTCTGCAGATAATTAGCAGATTGTGTTGTTTGTTGAAAATGATGGTTTCTTAGCACCTGGTGCCTGTTGAAAAGGCTGGAGTATTAAGTTCTTAGCGAATCCCTCTATTGTCTTGGCTTGCGTTTGCTGCATTTTCTATGTGCTATTCGTGACTTGGAGAACTCAAGGAACCTGGGCCATGCCAACTTGGGGTGTGAACAGAGTACTTACTCCCCACCAGTGTTGAAAGGGAGAGTGTAGTCTTGCAGATAAGCCTCCCGCTTTCTTTTGGGGACACACGGCTTCTCACTTGAGAAGCTCATTTGTGCTGGATGTCTACATGGTCACTAAACATGGTCTCCTTGGACCTCCCTGAGGTTTGAGCTTAAGGCTTGGGCTCTCTCGTTAGCAGGTTTTCATGGGAACCTGAGGCAGGAAATGTATTGCTAAGACTTGATCAGGTTCAGACCATCTCAGGCTTCTAGATATTTGACTTGATAAAACTTGAGCAAGGCCCTGGCTCCCAGAGACGTATCCTACAGTTTCTCGAATGTGCCACCTGAGCAGGGGGGACCCAGGCTATGAGTTTCCTTTTGAACATGCTGGTCCTTCCTTAAAGTTCTCACCTTGCTAGCTGTAAGCTCTTTGAGGACAGGGACTATGTCTTACCACTATCGTTTCCCATTACCTAGCAAGAGATGGGTATACAATAAATATGTGTTGAATTAATGAATGACTATCTTCTGGCAAACTCTGCTGATTGGGAGCCCACACCTATAATTGGGGCGTGGATCACTTCTTCACTGGAATAAGAGTACAACGGCCAAACCTTCAAGGACATATTATCTACTATGAACATTTTACTGTGAGACTCTTTATTTTGCTTTCCTACCTGTGCTGAAATGAAACCAAAACAGACTGTGAGACTTATCTGGTACAAGAAACCAGTAATGAACCTTTGACCTGTTTTAACCAATGAAGATTATGAATGTGTTTATATGATGTAAATTGCTATTTAAGTATAAAGCAGTTCTAAGTTTTAGTATTTGGGGATTGGTTTTTATTTTATTTTATTTTTTTCTCTTTGAAAAATACTGAGGGATCTTTTGACAAGGTTAGCAACGCATATTAGATTTTAGTTTTGCAAGTGTGTTGTTTTTCAAATGTATAAAGTATAGAAAAAGGTAAAACAGTAAGAGGGAAGGCAGTTATGTTATTATTCTATAGTTAAAGGGAGGATTTGTTGAGTGCCTACTATGAGCACAGCATAGAACCATATATGTGAGAGTTTGTCTAATTATATGGGATGTACTAGATCTTGATATTTACTTATTGGTGGATACGTACTGTATGAATGAAAGAACATCACAGCAATCACAATGTCAGAGCTGAATTATCCAACGTTGCTTCTCAGGATTCAATTTCTGGAGTAAGAGAGCATTTTTAAAAAAAAATCCTGTTGAGACTGTGTCTTATAAACTTCTGAAATGTACAGACCTTCACAAGTTTAACTAAATTTGGGATTAATCTTTCTGTAGCTACCTACATCATTATTGCTTTTTTCCCCATCTGGCTTATGGGTTGAAAATTTGTGGGAAACAACTCTACTGCCACTATTTTTTTTTTAATCAGCAATATTTCTCTTTGAGCTGTATTAAATTCAACCAAGTATTTCTGTTTTATGAAAGAATTATATTTTTCAAAATATGGGTTTTTTTTTGTTTTAATGGGTCCCAGAAAATACTAATAAAAACTATAGAGCCCAGCCTGGAAATGTATGTTTCATTCTTCAAGAAGCCATCCGAAGCTGAGCCTAGAGGAGATGCACTTGGTCTATAACAACAGAATGTACACAGCTTCTACACTTCTGTACTCAGTAAGCATTTATTGAGCATCTACTATGTGCCAGTCACTGTTCTAGGCACTGAATTATGGCAGATAATGAAAGACAAAAATCTCTGCTCTCATTAAGTTTATGTTCTATTGAGTAGTAACCGACAAGACACTAACAAACAAATAAATAATGCTTAGCATATCAGATGTGCAGTAGAGAGACATGATAGAGAGTGCCGGAGCATAGAGGGGTGTATTGCAAGCTTAGGCAGGGTTAAGAAGGAAATATTTCAATAAAGGACTGAAGACTCTAAGGGAAGGAGCCAAGCAGATACCTAGGGGAGTGATCCATACCAGAAGGACCAGCAAGTGCAAAGGTCCTGAGGTGAGTGTGTTCCTGTCATGTCCAAAGAGCAGTGAGGAAGTCTGTTTGCCAGAAGAGACGAGTAATAGTAAAAAATGATGAAAGAGAGACGCCGGTGGACCAGATCACATAGAGCCTGGAGGCCATTATGAAGGCACTCGTTCTTCCTCTGCATGATACGCAGAGCCATAGAAGAGTGACGTGCTCCAACTTCCGATTTAAAAGGATCCCTCTGGCTGTGGTGTTGAGAATGGATTGCAGGAAGCCATTCAATGCTGGGTGTACATTCTTAAAGATGAGCAAAGAGGGGTAGGAAAGATGACTCTAACACCCAGGTTTCTAATACAATACTTTAAAATATTTCCAAGCAGTAAGGGAGCTCTTCTAGTGCAGAACACATTTCTCCCTGCGTCCAGAAAGTCTCAGTCACTCGGTCAGATAACTTCATAAATAATAAAGAAAATAACAGCTAACTATTTTAGAAAGATTCACTTGGTCCCAGAAACTGTGGTGTGTTCTTGACATACATTATTATATTTAATCCTCATGCAAGCCTGCAATATATAGATATTATCCCCAATTTTCATATGATGAAAATCAAGGTCAAAAAGGTTAAGTGACTTTCTTGAGGTCACATAGCTAGTAATACATGGTAGATCTGATATTGTTTATCCAGGTCCCTCTGGCTCTAACCCTGGTATTTCTTTAGTTCCTCAGGATGCTAATGTCAACACACATACACACACACACACACACACACATGTACACACAGATTTCTAGAGTTGAATACACTGGAGAAATACTAAGTTGGACAATGTTTTACAGAGCTGTTTACTGTAGGACTTCTCAGAGTCTTTATGAGGATTTGCATTGTGAATCCACAAGGTAGGGAGAAAGTGTGCCCAATTTCCCAAGCCTCTTTGACAATGGCCCTTTTTCATCAAAGAAGATCTCATGGAAAT